CACATCTTTCTTGGGGACAATTGTAATCAATTCATGACGAGCATGAATCACTGCGTGCTTTCGGATGAAGTGGGCTGAATAACCGTTTACTTGCAGCGTTTGGAAAATACGGTTCTTTTCGGCCTCCAGGGTCTCTGGGCTACATATTTTGGCAGCGCGAAAGTACAGGCAACGAACAAGGTTCCGTTTGTACTTCAAAGGTACAAAACTGAGAAAATGCGTGTATTGACCGACCCACATCGTTTTCCGAAACACACTTCTTTCTAGTGAACCGCCTTTTTTTCTCCTTAGTAAAACGTCCAAGAAGGCCAGTTTAGCATCATTCTCGATTTCACTGGTGAACTTCAAAGATGGATATACCCTGCTTAACCGGTTCAACAGACTGAAAACATCAGTGTTTGAATCACAGACTATAAACGTGTCATCCATGTATCGACAATAGAAATCAAATGAAGAGATGATGGATTTTATAGGTCCATGTTCGAGCTTAGCAAAGAAAATGACAACAAGAAGCGGTCCGAGAGGAGACCCCATCGCGACTCCCTCAATTTGTCTATAGTAGATTCCATCAAATAAAGACTGTCTTATGAAAGTACATCGTAAGATTAATTCCTTCAGTTTCCTTCAGTTTTTGCACTGGAATATATGCATGTATTTTCTTTTGGTTTAAGTAATCACAAATAAAATTAACCGTCTCTATCAGCCGAACGTTCGTAAAAAGTGATTCAACGTCGAAAGAGAGCATCAATTTACCATTTACTCTCATACATTCGACTTGTTTCACAAATTCGGATCTCTTTCACAGTGTGAGTGCATAACTCGCGGCATACTGGTTCCAGCAGATCTACAATCCATTTCGCAACGGACTGAAAAGCGGAGGTCGACATGTCAATTATCGGACGCAGACGAATCTGTGGTTTGTGTACTTTAGGTAGTCCGTAAAGTCGGGGGGGGGATGTGATCCAACTGGAGTTATCCGTTCCAGTAGTACGCCATCTATCAGGTTCATGCGTCTCAGCTCCTTTAATATTTGCATGATTTTGTGCTCATCCTGCGCGGTCTTATCTTTCTGTACCGTTTCACGTAAGAATTTTCCCGTGTCCCGCAATATGGAATGTATCTTGGAGACGTAGTCAGATTTATCCATCAGTACCCATCCTGATCCCTTATCGGGTCTGGAAATTATCACCTCTGGATTAGATCTCAATTCCCTGACGGCGTCACGGTGTTTCTTTGTCAGGAGATTAGACGGCTTGGCTTCGTAACTCATATATTGTTGCGCGAGATGAACCAGGGTGGTTCTGAATGTTTCCTTTGCAAGCGAAGAAGTAGGCGTCAGCTCGCTCAGTTGTTGCATCAGATGTTCAAACTGTGTCTCTAGATGGACTTGTCCACAACTAGGTTGAGAGAAGCAAAATTTTGGTCCAAGTGCCAATGCCTCTAATTGCAAATGATTCAGCTGTAGGCTGGAGAGATTGTGCACATATCTTTCTGGATCCGGCGGGAACTTAGGCTCTGGCGGATTTGGTTCCAGGCTTTTAAGCAGCTTAGCGTACTTCTTTTCTTCTACCTTTGCACAGACTTCTTGTACATATTGTTGAAAAGCCTCGCGCTGCACTGTATCGAGCTCTTCTACACTCGATCGGTGAAGTGAACACAGACGTTCTAATTCAGGAATTCGTGACTGAACAGTTTCCAGTATGTTATGAGCATAGCGCTTGAGCGACTTTGTAGTTAGATGCACACGGCATCGTTTCAGCGCTTTCCAATACGTCATTGGATACTGATTATGTTTTAAGCATTCCTGTATGAATCTGATCTCAGTCCTGTTGTTGTTGCTGTTGTCCTCAAGCCTAGCTTTAAAATTCAAACATTTGTTGAAGTCACTGAACGCCTTGGGTTGCTTGCTCTTTTTTAACTCGAAAATTATACCCATGGAATTGATAAAACACAAGGTTTCGAAGCGCAATCTTTTCGATAAATCTCATCAGATAGAATTTTCTCAGCCATCTTCAAATTCGAGGGATCTGCTCTTGTAGATGATTTCCAGGAGTTACTAATGAAACTTTGGGGGCAGGAAACTGTCTCGACAGACATGAGCCGCTCTGTCATAGTCCCAATTTTCAAGCGAGGCTCCCGTTCGGAATGCGGCAATGGTACAGGGATCAGTCTGATCTCAATTGCCACTAAATTGCTTGCGTCTGTTGTTCTCCAAACTGACTGACACTCGTGAAAGCCATATTCGTGAAGAGCAAGCCAGGTTTCGTCGAGGTCGGGACTGCATCGACCATATCCACTTAGCCTCAATTGTTGGAGCACCACAATGTTTATTGGCGACCCACCGTAGTCGTGTTTCTCGGCATAAAAGGTGCTTTCCATTCAGTCAATTGTGCCCTTTCGGACTGTCTGCTCAGGAAAGGTGTGCTTAATAAATATGTAAACCTTACCAAAACCCTGCTGTACGCGCATAGTTCGGGCAGAGTGAGGGTTTATGGCAAACTTTCGTCGCCTGTCACTATCTCCAGCGGTGTGAGCTAAGGTTGCCTGCTATCAGCATTCCTCTTCAACTTTGCCATTGACAAAGTCATGGAAATGGCGTTCGCTGGACACGACCAACAATGGTGTGGAGCTACTTCTTGGTGAGCGAATTCTTGACTTAGAGTTTGCTTATGATATTGTCCTTATCTGTGACAGTTCCCAAATGTGCCAAGCAGCGCTGGACCGGTTAGCACTGGCTGTCATTTGTTTTGGGCTATACTCCATCGAAATGCAATCCTTCTCCAAGATTGACAAGGACCCACGCCTGCACCGGCCCTTGGGGGTGATCAACTAAAAGTCGTTCAGTAATTCAACTACCTGGGCAACTATTTTAGCTCCCTTGCGATCAAAGACCGGCGTTACGGAGCGTATAGCAAAAGCTCGAGGTGAAAGGCAGAGTTTCTAATGCAACCGTACTTTCGTCCCTGATGTACGGTTGTGAAACCTAACCCATCAAGGTGACAGACATAAGGAGGTTACTCACGTTCGATCATCGCTGCCTCCGCAGCTTAGCTCATGTCTGGTAAAGGGGAACCGCTTGAGTAATGCATGTGTTCGGCGTCGTGTATTTGGTGCAGAGAGGGAGTGAACCGCTCAGCAGCGTTATTTCACGCACCGTGATCCGATAGATGGACCACGGTTGCGCATGCCAGCACATAGACTCCCGCGACGTGCATTGTTTGCGCGCCGGTGATGTGCATAGAAGTGAAAGAGCGGAGACCAAGCGATGACTTGGTCAAGAGGAATGAAAACCCTCACCTCGAAGTTGGCCTCGGTTGGATCGTCTCGGCTCCCTGGTTGTAGGCCGAAAGACGATGAACACGTTTGGCTGGATATACTTGCCGACATGGCAAGGAGCCGACCTCAGTGGCGTTCGTGCTGTGAGTTTCTGTCCATCTTTGTCTTTAAATTTCCCGTCTAATCACGATCTCAAAGCGAATTGATATATTTAACATCATGTTACTTAATTTTTGAATTTTATATTACTGGTAAGTAGCATGATTTTAGCTGTAATTTTGTTAAGGTTTTCATCCCAGTAGTTCACAAGTCACATAACAGCCTAGGCCGGAAATGCATCAGACGCGTTTCGCCCTATTGGGGCTCGTCAGTAGTGCTCATTTCCTCGGTCCTCTAAGGAGGATCGAACCCATAACCGCTAGAGGCAGATGCCAACTAGTTGAAGTGCTATTTTTGGTATCTTATCTGTTTGTGTTGCGACACTTTAACTGAGATGTGTTTCTCACTCTCAGCTAACGTGTATTGATGATGATGATGGTCCTCTGCTTTTAGTCTCTCCTTCGACTGAAATAATCGTCCTAGTTTTAAAGGGGCTGGTGTCGAATCACATGTGATCCTAATCTTCAGCAGTCACAAAATTCCCACACAATAAAATGGATCGAAGTGAGTCAGATGCTGAGTAACTACTCTTTTCGGTAACTCCCATCAGACTCAGACTTTGCATGAGGATGAGTGGGCGCAAAATGTGCCGGATAGAGCGACATGTTGATTAGAAAGTTTAATCCCTGCCGAAACGAATCGATACATCACGCGGACACTGAAGGTAGCAGAATAAGTGCAAGGTCAAGTCACTTTCGCAACCAAAAATTAACTGGGACGTAAATACAAGGAGCGTGTAACGGGAGTAGTCGGTCCGAGTATAAGTAAGGTGCGTACAAATTGCTTATGTACGCACAACTCCGAATTGGGTTGGTGGATATAGGTAGCTTCCGCAATAGATAGGAACTGCTTCCGGAATCCGCGTGAGAAACGTTCAGGAATAGAGTAGTTTGCCCTGAAGTCGTTTACCGAGGCTGCGTGATCGTACTCTAAGAGTTGCGACATGATGAAGCGATTAGAAAACTTCTTCGCTTATTTAAAACCACTTTGGAATTTTGTTAAGGGTCATTTTGAAGTGCACGTTAGATGGATTGCGACCCGCAATCTCAATGTTGATCACGATTCCCATTGAAGTGAACCGTGGTCTTTCGATCACGAGATCCTTAGCTGATGCAAATGTGGATGGGAGCCACGTTTCATCAACGCAGCCGGCCCACACTCCTTGCAAGTGCACAGCAGCAGCATTCATGTCTCTCTATGTAGGGAATCATGCGTACCAGACGTGCATAAGGCAGTGGCTGGTCCGTAGTGCACTCCACACTGCGTGCATGGAGCCACTCTTTTAGTCAAGCGTCGTCCGGAAGCCTACGTACGTCGTCTTCTCCAAGAACGATCAACAATTTCTTGTGGCGATTTTTAGACAGGTTGGCTCCTTGCTGCCGGGGATGTATATGTATACCTACAAATGTATGCCTCCTTTAACCCCGCTTATCACAACAGCCTTTTGAAACCCTCTTTCTGTCTCGTATCCTGAAAGCGCAATACTCTACACATTCTCTCTTCCAATGTTTAAATTAGAATAGCTGACCGCCAATAACCGTTGTGCTTTCCATTGTTTGTTGCAGCTTGCCAAGGTATCAAAAATCCCGTAAGATTGATCCACACTTTGACCAGCCCCTCGATACTTTGCCCAGCAAGAACCGACGGGATGAAACAACAAAACCACCCAATGGATTTGCTGATCAATCCATACTCGAAGTGCTGGGTGGCCAGTTAACCGAAAAGCAGTTAGAATCTGTCCGCGCCGAACTCATCAAGGAAGAGGAAGTTCGTCAACGTATGTTTCAGGTAGGTCACACTCCGGCTGTCATGCCTCATAGAAGATGTTCATAGCCCTAGGTCTAGTAGAACCTTGGCTTTACCCATACTGAAGCTTGTCGACTAAGTACCAACCTTTGACAGCAAAGTGCGTTTGTCGCGGTTGGCTGCTCAATTCTATGAACTCTCTTGGGACTTCTTTGGAAGTCTACCGTTTCCGAATTTCCCGATCGTTTGACCGAGTATCTGCAATAGCTCTATCTGGTTTTTTGTTGTTTCCAGGAAGCACATAACGTTTTCCCTTCTAACTCCGATCACTACGTTTGTACTACTGTAATTTGCCGTCTCTCCTCCCCACGCTTCTTCCAAGTTGAATTTTGCTTTTTACCCTTTGTCTTACCGATCTCTTTCCTCAGCTCGACAAAGAGGCTCGCCTTCTCAGCTGTCTCCTCTCTACCACCATTCAAGCATGCATTTCAAAGCCCATGCAAACAGATCCCACCCTGGCTCACTCTGTGGGAACGCTTGCAGTCGATATTTGTTGCGAATTATCCACCTCACTGACTCGTCTCTTGGGTAGCGTTTTAACCGCACCGTACTTTTTGCGCTGCTACGTGCATAGCGTGTCCCTAATGATGCAGTGTGCACTCAACCGAAGAAGTGGTCTTCTCCCGAAATCTGGCAAAGTGGATTCCGCATGTGAACACCTCGTTGGCTGGTGGTCCCTGCGCATTCTTGGACCTGCTCGCTTGCTATCCTCGCCGGATCTGGTCACGATCGCGAAGGGATTCGGCAACTGGGGCAATGCTCGCCTATTCAGGACTCATCTGTACACTTTGGAGTCTGCTGTCGCTGACGCAGCTTCCCTCACGGCGTGTTGGTCCATGGATTCCCTTGCCGACCAGACCACTAGGCTTGTCAACTTCATTCAGAACAAGGTATATTCTAACCCTTTTGCTCTCTGACCAATATAATTTACCAGTTTTCTCACTGTTTGCGCTTGTACTCTAACCAAACGCTTATCTAGTAATGTTTCCCGGCAGGAACAGTACATTGTAATCCACTTACTAGGATTACAACACACTGTTCCGTGACACATTGCCCTTACTCCTGTCACTTGAGTGGAAGCCCACTGCTATTGGCTGCGTGCGTAGTAATCATGCAGGCCGCTGCCGGTTGTCTACCGATTTCCAGCACCCTCCATCCCAACGTTGTTCGTGCCATATTAGAGCGATTGTTCTTAGCATCCACCGGTCATTGCTAACTATCAGCATTCACTATCTTCATACTTTACTCCGAGGATTTTCTTAATGGTTTCTTGATTTAATTTTTCATTGTGAGTGGGGGTCTCGCCATAGTGCAGCCCGTTTTGATATATGGGGTGCGACCCACTTCAGCATGACTTCGGCGGCCTATCCACGCGATCTGCATATGTGCAAGTCTGACGGTCTACCCAGTCAACTCACTATTTATGAGTCTATGGTATGGTGGTGATAAGTTAACGTACCCCCTGACCGGCCAACCACTACATCCCGCAGGTCCCCTGGGAGAACTTGGTGTGCTCCCGTAGACAACCTGTACAGGCATGGAAATGGACTGCGCCTACTGTGAGCGATGGAACGGAGATTATGTTTTTGTTCACAGGAGATTGTCACTCGCCTCCTCTCTTCCATATGACCAATGCTGGAGTACGGCGCACCCACCTAGGCGCAAAAGGTAAAATGTGTCAGCATGTCGCTACCAGGCTCATCCTTAGTTTGCGGGGTATGTAGTACGATGACTGATACCGTAGACTGGGGCTGTACACCGTTGTATCGTCCGTTTCCAGTGGACATCAAAGGTGACTACCCTTTGCTGAGGCCTGTTCTGCACGTGTGCACGTCAAGCGTCACTCGCGGGCATCGGTACAGACTTGTGGTCCTGTATCTACAACGTATAGCGTACTCTCTATGCTTCTAGCGTCGACATAAAATGTTGGCACAGTTTACCAGAGACAATAGTCGAGGTGAACTCGGATCGGAGATCAAAGAACTCCTGGATGCGCATTTCGCCGATTATATACATCGGGAGTGCATCGAGCTTGAATAGCGCGTCGGACAACTGAACTGTGTTGTAAGTGTGCGATTGTTTGTCCACTATATCGATAGAGCGACACAGATGGGATCTATTCCTTATCTAAGTTCTGAATTCACTTCACCGACTTCACGTTCGTTTGCACTCTTGCTGTAAAGATAGTTGAACACATTTGGGGGACTACACTGATAGTGTACCGTTGAAGTCGTCAGTCATCAGTAATCTGTGCGTCTCCGATCCATTTCCCAGCTCCGGCAATCTACTTGAAGAGCTATCGTAGACAAAGTACCGATGGTGTAGAGCAGTTTGGGGTAGTTGGGAACACCCAACACCTGTGAGGCAGGTTCTGAGGCTTTAGCTTTACGCCTAAACTTCGTGCTCATCACTTCCTGCCGTTTTTCAACTCCATTTTTATATCAAACTACTTTTTATTTTTCTTTATGCACTGCAGTTTCCTCATCGGGACGCCAACGCCAGTTTACTGTATAGTTTTCTTTGCCCCACTTTCGAACTTCTCTTACTCGCCTCTGGATGGGCTCGGCCGCTTCACGAGGAATTGTCAAATCTACCGTTTCCCACCCTCCAAGAAGGTTACACTGCTACTGATGAGTCTGGTGCTAGCTACGCTGTGCGCCCCGAGATCCGAAAGATGTGGAACTGGGTCACACCTCAACACGCCAAGAACCTCATGATATGTTGGCTAACCCAATTGCGTCCACCTTCACTTGATGGTGCCACGCTTCCTGTCGATCGTTTATTCTATAATGTTGTGCTTCGCAGTCTTCCGTTCTCTCGCTTATTCGCGGTACGTTCCTCTTTCCATTTGTGTAACACATCACCGCGCTATGCTACACTGAATCTTCGAGTCAGATAAACCTACCCTCTCACTTTCCTTCCATCGTGTAACATCACTTGACGGACTGCGACAACTTACATGATTGAGCCGGTGAATTTAAAACTAAGCGCGTGGTGCACTCCTCTGACATTTCGGCTTCAACTTTTTTGCCTTGTTTTTATCCCTTCGAATTAGGATAATCGAGCCACTATTATTTCTTCTTCGCATCATAGGGGATTGAATCGCACTGAATCGGTAGACAACTTCGAGTAGTAGTTGTGTAAGGGGAACAACTGACGGAATACGGACCCAATGCAACAGCACTACCTCGAGTTTTAAAGTTGTCCACGTGCAGCAGGCCTTGATGATAACCGCCCAGAAGAAATCCACGTCTATTTATCTCGATGTGTTCTTCACTTGGCCAAGTGTAGGGGGCTCCCCCAAGTACTACAGCAGATGGAACGCTCACTCCTAGTGTTTTCCGACAGGATGAACCAGCCGTACAGTGCTGTCTGACAGCCCATATTTGTATAGAGCATTTAAGATGTATATTAGATGCATCGCCCTTCTTCGTTTTAATTCCTAATTCATATAGAAATTGTGATCACCTGAAAGTGAATCATTAGTACAATGTGCTGGTGTACTTGTGTTATTGTTGGTAATGCGAGCGATTGCCTGCTCATGTTCGTAGTTCAAAACTTTGATCCGATATCTTGACGCTTCGGGATATATAATGGTTGTCTCGAGGGAATTGGCCAAAATCTTCTCACTACAAGACTGCGTGAAGCAGTTTCAACTATGAGATGTGCCTACAGACTCCCGCAGGAGTTTACCTAAGGGTGATCACACAACTGGACATCTTGGAACGGTTGCTTTTTTGGCCTTATTAGTTACTTGACTTGAGATAACAAAGAAATGTCGGCAAATTTTTCGACCTTTCCCTCTGCCTGTCTGCGTTGAGGCGGCTGGCAGTAAACTTGTCCACAACTGTGGACTCTTGATGTTAATCGAGCTGATAACCTAACCGGCAGTTTTATTTCCAAAGCACATACTTTATGGCATAGGACCTACGGACTTCTCCTTCTTTCCCTGTGAGTGACGTGTAGATCATCATCATGAATACTTCCGTTCTTTCAGGCTCTTCCGTACTGGATGTTCTGCCAAGTGACCGGCTGCGTAACCTTGAGTATCCGGACTACATGGCTCTGCTTGTGTCTAACGCGGTGGCAATGCTGACCGACGCGTAGCGCTACCCATTTCGGCATGTGCTTTGCACCTTCAAATACAAGATTTTGTAGCAAAACCGGACCGATGCACCACCGGTTCTAGGTACCAGCGAACAACCGCTGGAGTTGGTGGATTGGTTCATTTGCTAGTTGTGTCACCTCTAGTGACCAAATTATCTGCTTACGGAAAAGTAATGTCGGTTGAGAACGCGACAGGCGTCGATGGATAGCCCATCGACGTCGAGGGCATTGTGCTGTAGCACTCGAGGTCGTGAATGCCTCAGCCAAGGGGAGTTGGTGAGCCAACAGCGTCGCAACTTTGGCCTAACGTCCAAGAGAAGACGAGTGTGGTCAATGTCTAGTCATCACAAGCGCGGCGCTTGTAAGATCCCTGCTTCCGATACAATTTACTAACACAGGTCAATAAGACGGTCGATGTGTACGTGTGCCACATGGTCCTTTCATCTGGTCTCTACGTGTGCCTGCCTGCTGAGATTCCTGCATTTCAGCGTTTGGCTATTGATTGATATCCCCGGTGTGATTACGCTTGGTGTGAGCGTTGGCATGGTGCATCCCGGTCTATTACCCACTACCTCGCCTGGCTCCAGGAGACAGTTATTCGTTGTTGGAGGGGACGGGGTGCACGGTCTTCGTGGTCGTGCTAAGGTTAATGAGTGGTTCCATGCTTTTCTATATATATATATATATATATATATATATATATATATATATATATATATATATATATTATGTGTACATGAGTTAAATCGACCTGATCCACCTTACTTATTAGCATTGCTCGACTGGGCTAAGTTCGCGTAAATATTGTTTTGGACCATATGTGTAGCAGTCGTAAACTTCACCGAACAATCTTTGTTTTACTTTTGCTTTATATTTCTCAATAATTGCCTTCTGCCTGCTGCTCACATTAGTATGGCACCTTAGGCGTGAAAATCAGACCACGCTTTATGCCTGCGACGAAGGCTCCTATTCAACCGGTCAAAGCAGACTGCAACAGCGATCCTTCATTTGGGGTCGCGTGTTTATCGTTTGTCTAGCATCCACACATGTTTGTGTTTTATCACAGGTGCGGAAGTCCTCCCAACTTTCTGTCGCCTAGGTAACCGTAGCCAGCTTTTAAGAACATTAGTGCCTACGGTACTGTGTGCTCTGGACTCACGTTCAAAACCCCCATAAATCTATGCTCGTTGTGTCTGATACTATGTTCCTTGTTCATTTTCAGCTTGCTCGACAAGTTGTTGAAGGAGCCCTGTGCGACGAAAATGCATATTCCGGAGAAACTGACCATAATTTGATCGAAGAGCTTGAAGAGCCCCAGGTAACTCGCACTTTTATTCGGAAGGATGAGATGTGTCCAATTGAACACAGAGAATTGGCTCGCTCGGCACTAGATGTGTTGCGTTGCACCACGGAACTGCTTACCGACGCGCTGACTGCAGTGGATTTGCCGGACAAATTATACTACCAAATTGCCTTTCACAGCCTTGATTCTCTTTTGAACGGTACAGTCGCCGAAACTGCTCTTGCTCGTGAATCGTGTTTACAGGTATGTAGGGATTCAGCAGCCCCTCCTGGTTTGCTTTGTCTTTTGGTTGTTACTTGTGCCTCTGTTACTTAGGCTTGATAACTGTGGTTTCAGATGTCACCCAGTCTTAGTGTTGTCTTCCTTATTTTCTATTACCTTGGTCTGCCTTGGATTTATCACTCTTTTATGCACCTTTTTCACTTTAAACTAAACATTCTGCACACCGAAATGTTTTAACGTTGTTCAGGCCACATTGCGGTCAAGCTAATGCAACTCGGCTTGTGAAAGCAGTGTGCACTAGAACAAACGCTTCTCTGGTATTGTAATCGTGAGTTGACTTGAGAGTCCTTCACCTCGATTCAAATCAGTGACACCATTTTCCCCGTCAACACATCGACTTTCGTATAGAGTGTGACGTATGTTTGCGCTCAGACGAAATCCCACGGTAGTTCGGATTTGGTAACCCGTTGTCGTGGTGTTCGCTGAGATAAGGCTTTTATTTAACCATTTCCTCACCATTCGAGATGGTACCACCAGCGAATAGGATTTTGCGGCTTCGTAACAGAAGCTGGTGCATATCAAACGCGGGTATGGCGGTCGCCGACCAACTCTTCATTACACTGTAGAATTTTGTGGTCATCAACTTTGGCTTGTGCAGCTGTGTGACTGTGTCCGGTTTGATTTGCGAAATGCCTAGTTTAAAGTGAAGATGGCATACATTTTACGTATTTGTTAAATAAGACATTTGTGACACCAGCTTCAATCATTTTGGTTCAGACATCATGCACATGTTTTGCACTTCGAAGCTCTTGAGAAGCGACACCAAAGACCACCCGAGAACGTGTGTAAAGCAATTCGATACTGTTGTTTAATGTGTTCCACTGCGATTGACAGACGGATCATGTTAAAGCATGGTTTTATGTCACACGACAGAACCACCCTGGTGGCACCAAGTGTGGTCACGTATTCATCTCGAGTTCGAACCACGCTCCTGCGATTCCCCACATGCAACTGCCGGGCGGTCTCATGGTAACGAAACATCAGCACGGAACACGGGTGTGTCGCCAATGCATGTTTTCATAGAATCACGCGACTCATAACCCTCCAATATTGATGGCTATCGTCCTACGAACTCCAGATTCATAGCTGTAGCCGAAGTTAGCTAACATCATAAAGTCATTTTCATTACCGCAACCTACCTGCTACCAAATGAAAATACGGGAATCTTAACACCAATCACGAATTTAGCTGAATCCGCCACTGTTTATGAATACCAGTGTGTATACAAACACGTTGCCAGGCATGTTTGACACGTTGTCAAGCGATGTGAATACTGAATACTGTTTCGAATCAGCGAGTAGAGTTTTCTCTGTGTAGCTACATCATTCGTCGCTTTTGGACATTTACGCCTTATTTATTGTTCCGCTCACTATATTTTGCCTCTGCAAAGTGTTTGTCTAGGAGCTTCTTAAATTCGGACACTGTGTTCTCCTCTACTACCTGCTGCGGCAGGTCGTTCCAAATATTCACCACTCTACGTTCGAAACAGAGTTGGTGAGCGACCCGCTTTAACTTCGGTACGATAAGTTTATACCTGTGTCCTCGTATGCTGCTTGGTTTGCGCAGATGAAACAGTTGTCTCAACATAGGGTAATCACCTAGATGTAATATCCGGTGCGTCATGATTAGGTCAACCCTCAGCCGACGATATGCTAGGGTGTACAGCCCCAGTTTCTTACATCGGTCTTCAAATGGCATACCTCGTAAGTTGGGAATCAGCCTGATGGCTACATGCTGCACCCGCTCAAGCTTTTCTACCTCGCTCAGGGTGATGGGACAATACGCGGGAGAGCCGTACTCTAGCATTGGTCGTAATATCGAGAGTAGCGGCGAGTAGCAATCACTTCAGATCAAGTGCTGAAGCTGCGCCTGAGCGCCCAAAGCATACGAAGGCTGTTTTGATACAGCCTATTCGTGTTGTCAGGGGACTTTAGGTCGCAGTGTGAGAGCACACCGAGGTCGCGCACGAAAGACGCGGGATGCAGCGGTTGATCAGCCACCGTGTACGTTCGGCTGTGCTCACACTTACCAAACCTCATAAATTGCGACTTAGCAGGGGTGATCGGAAGGTTAATCTCTGCAGACCATGTTGAGAGGTTGTCGAGATCCTGCTGAAGTAAAACACAATCATTGAGTGTGCGGATTACTCTCCACACCTTCAAGTCATCTGCGAACAACGCACAAGGTGATTGGAGTAGCTTAGGCACATCGTTTACATGGGTCAGAAACAATATCGATCACAGTACAGTGCCTTGGGGCACGCCGCTGTTCGATGAATACCAGTTAGTTAGATGGTTTTCCACTTGGACTCTCCACTTTCGATCAACAAGGAAATTTCTGATCCATTTGTGCAGCGAACCACCAACACCGCACATCCTCAGCCTGTCAAGGAGCACTGCATGGTTAACTTTGTCAAAAGCCTTACTGAAGTCAATGTAAATGACATCGACCGAATGACCTTGGTTCATCGCTTGTAACCATTCGTGCCTCGTCAACAGTAGGTTGGTGATGCACGAGCGACCTTTCATGAAACTATGCTATGCGGAGGTCAACAGGTTTTTCGACTCAAGAAGCAGCAGAAGGTTCTTCTTCACGATCTTCTCGAGTGTCTTTGCCAAAACAGTAGTCAGCCAGATCAAACGATGGACATAGTGACTACAGCGGCCACAATAGCGCTCCACTGCTTACTACCTCCCCCTCTTCTTACGTTACGTGATCGACTTCTTGACTTGGAGTACCTTGACGAAATCGCCCTCATCTGTGACAGCTTGAACGGGCAAAGCAACACCGGACAACTTAACACTGGTAAACAATCTTTTCGTGGTACGTTACATGCATTCGAATTGCGCGGTCCTTCTCTAAATTTGACACTGATCCACCCCTACGCTTACACTTGGTGGTGATCAGCTAGAAGTCCTTCTGAAATTTAAGTATCTTGATAGCTATATTAGCACATGTGGAATAGTGGATGTGATCACGAACCGTCTAAAGAAAGCTCAAAACTCTTTTGCTGATCTCCTTTTTCTGTGGCGCCGACGCGAGATCACTCTCGCTCTGAAGAGCAGAGTTCACAATATGTCCTTGCGTTCAACTCTACTGTACGCTTGTAAAACTTGGCCCATCAGATCGACAGACATAAAGAGACTAGCTACGTTCGTCTAGCTCATGTCTGGTGGGAATCGCGTGAGCAATGAGCATGTTCAGCGTCGCGTATTTGGTGCCGAAAGAGCGAGTGAATCGCTCAGAACCGATATGACACGTACCAGGCTCCGATGGCTAGGCCACGTGTTGCGCATGCTAGCGCACCGATTTTCGCGTCACGCGCTGTTTACGAGCCTGGGGTCTGGATGGAAGATAAGAAGGGCAGGCCAAGCGATGACTCGGTCGAGAGAAATGAAAGCCCTTACTTCGAAGTTAGCGTCGGTTGGTGTATCCTGATTGCCTGGCTGAAGTCCGAAGAACGATGAACACGTTTGGTTGGTTACACTTTCTGGTATGACAAAATGCTTGCCCCAATGACGTCTGTGTTGTGAGTTTGTTTATCCCTCCCCACCCCGCTTATCTTTCTTCTCAATGTTGATCTTACACTCCATGCTTTGCTTTATATCACGTTTTCTTTTTCTTTCATGTTCTGTGCCTTTTAGCATCTCCTCATTGTTCTGATCTTTTGGGTCGTTCAGTAATGTGCAGTCCTTGGCAGCGATAGAACCCGCGATCCTTCTCTACTATGTTGTCACATATGCTCAAGCATGGCTCTCCATTGATTTGTACTTGGTGCAGTGCATTACGCAACCTCGAACGCTTAGTTTGTATCTTAACTATAACAAACCGTTGGTCATATGGGGCTATGAACCCTTCACACGACAGTAACATACGATGTAGTGGAGAGTGAACGGTGCTGGATCACATAAAGGTGACTTTGTCGTTATGTTCATTGTATTACCCCGCAGTTCAGTGTTTCTAACCCCAAGCTCCTGGAAGTAGGATCGCGGTTTCTAGCCACACAAAGATCACTACTGCAATGCGCACTAACGACGGCGCCGAAACAGATAAAACGGCCATCTAGGGCTTTTCCGGGCGTGTGGTGGCAGTCTGACTGTGTCCTGATGTGATAAATCTCAACTTATACCTTGCGTTAACTATGATCAGTTTTATTCGGTTCATCACAGCTAGATTGCAAGCCACAATGGTGAGCTACCAATCCAAAAAAGCACCAGACGACCGTACCGCCCTCTTGGGGCTGGTCCGTGAATACGCAGTCCCTCGGTCCCCTGCTGGGGATCGAACTTGTTTTCGCAAAAGTATCTTTCTCACAGTGTCATTTCAGTTACTTTACTTGCTCGGACCGAGGTTTTTGACAGTGCGACACCATTGCTTCTGCTATCGGCTTGGTGATATGCGCATTCTCATCTGTCTCCCTGTCTTTCTCGGAAACTGTATTTGTCAAGTAATATTGCGCGCTACACTTGTGAACCCGTGCATTGCGTAAGCTTCCGACTACAGTGGGGGAAAACCAAACGACCCACCTTGGACTTAGCTCGACACTCAGCCAGCACCACTTAAGTGCCTTAAATCGTCTCCCAGTAGACAGTTTGGTTCAACTGCGCATCAGCGCGTAATACTGTCTTGAGCGAGACTGTTTAAAAACGGATGGTAGTAGCCTCCTAGACGCTATCTTATGTTCGTGAGCTTCAGAAACTTTACTTTTCAACGCTAGGCCTTACAACCCTTTTCTTGTTTATGAACGATCGATTATTCTTAATTCCTAATTGTACTGCAGCCACCCACCCCTACAAGATAGCAGTGTATTCATCTCCAAACATGCGATTCCCGATCGTTTGTGTTCCACGGCGGTTACATGATCATTTTTATTACTCCCTGCCTTTTTTTCTTGTTTCCCCCTTGTTGTTACTCCAAGTACCGAGCTTCCGCCGTGTGTATTTCGTCACATGGTTTACCTTGCAGTAGGATTTTCCCGCAGTAAACCCATCTTTTCGCCCAATTAGTTTGTTTCCCCTTTTCTAATATCGTTTTCAATTCATCATTTCTCCATTCGTCGCGTTTTCCTCTTCCGAAGGCTTCTTCTTGTGCACCAGCAAGACTATCTGGGTCTGTGTTGGGGTTCCCATCAGGCCATACTTACTAAATTTAGTGTTTGGGAGTCTGTCTATGAGTTTAAGATCGTTGAAGGCACATGTATTTTTTAGTATTCAAGTACGAAGTGTGTTTATTACTTTCAGCCAACTTGTACCAGTGCTGGTGATAAGTACACAAGGACGTATGAAACCTTCCCGAATCTCTGCCGTCCTGTGACCTCCAGGATCACCAGCGTGCCTTGTAATCCCAGGTCACGCGTTCGTGCCTGCGTAGAAGACCGGGCGACCGCCGCGGCTTCCTTAGCTTCCGCGCGACTGGTGGTGGTGGCACAACAGTGAAGTGTCGGTACTGCGTGCCGGCGTACTACTGATACCTTTTCCGACCTTCCGTCACTACACAATCACGACACTTAGATGTATCGCTTTAGCGCCTATTGTCGCCTTGTCTCGCACGGTGAATTTTCAACATTCTCAATGGATCTGCAGTTCGTTTTGCCGGCTTTCTCTCTCGGTTACGGTTAACATCTTTCTCAGTACAGATAATTTGGCTCTTTCCGCCATATTGTTTCCAAATTAACTGAGCATTTTCGAGTGCATCCTCTTAAATGAAATACTGTTATTCCACGTTTTTGTACTATACTACCCGCACTTCGATGTACTTGTTTTTTTTCTAATTCTGTCCTTCTGGAACTGCACGCACATTACAGTCAATCCGCAGCGATGACATGCATCAATTACCTTACGTTTCCTGTTCAACTTTTCTTCTTTCCTCAATTAGTGCATTCTAACTCTGCTGCAAAGAATACCTTCTTTCGTGGATAAGGCTTCTTCATTTCAGTCAGACTCCACGCAATCAGATGCCGTTGTTATCACATCAGACATCAATACTCAAGCGGAAACTCAGGAACCCGAGCCTGTCCAATCCACTGAGGACTCACACGCACCGGACCGAGAGAATGTACAACCTCCACGGTCACAGGATACAAGTACTATGAAGAAGAAGTTGAACAAAACTCAGCGACGCAAACAGAAGCTAGCCCAAGTCGCCGCTGATTTACGTCAGGCCCAAGGAGACAGTGATCTACCGACAACACCATATAAAAGCCCTGCCTTTTGGCCACCACTGTCCATTTGGGCGAAACTGCAGCTTCGTCTGTGGGTCGCACGAAGCGATCTGTCTCCAGAAGCCGCATGCCTGGCTGAGAAGTTAGTTTACTACCGAGCATCGTGACGTATTCAAATGCATTTGAGTTATCTTCTCAGATCTACTCTTCATTATTTTACTCGGTGTATCTTTTGAATTCGCTCTTCTTACTTCACAGGTTGTGGGCCACCGTTGGCCTGGATACTGCTTGCGAACAACCAGTTACTCTAGAAGAGTCCACGAAGCTCCCCATAGCTCGTCTGCTGGATTCGCCTACCATTCCTTCTCTTCTGAGGCCCTTGTCTTTAGCCAAACGGCTGTTGCTCGAATCCACTCGCCCTATACCTTCGTTGCAAAAGGCAAACGCGGATGCCCTCGCTCTCTGTCTTCTATGGCGGACATCTGATGAAGTTGCGGTGTCCTTGCACCAGCTGATTCATTTGTATCGGACTATGCTTCATGTAAGACACTCTCTCCACTTCTGGCTCTCCTGATTGTCACTAAGTGGTCCGCATTCATAAGGCTTTCAATGCATTTTGATTTTCGTGCTCTCTCTCTCTCTCTCTCTCTCTCTCTCTATATATATATATATATATATATATATATATATATATATATACATATATATATATATATCGTGTTTTCCATAAGTGCGTTCGGATCCTTCTCAGACATCTGCTCCGTGATTAGCTTTGACTTTTTCAGGGCACACTCTTATGAAGTCTTTTTGGTTGTTTCCATCGATCGAGAGCTGTGCCTGTGACATTCATCACATTGGCTGGGTTTTCATGTCAAACCACTGAGTTTAGCGTATCTTTGCGTTTCTAATTTTTTGTTGTGCTTGCTGTTACTTCCCATCCGCCACACAACCATGGAATTTGACGCTCCTCCCAGGTGGCCTACTCATATTGGCCACTCGTCTTGTTGCGCATGTGAGTTGAGCAATGTAATGTAAAGGCCCGCTCACTCGATAGCCACCTTTTGCTTATCTATCAGGCCCCAAAGCACCGCTCGAACTACGTCTGCAAGCGACTACTAAAAGCCGCTGAGGCAATTGCTATCCGGCTGTATGAATCGGAGCTGTGTGTTCAGAAGAAGCTAACTAAAGGCTTGGGACTGCCCTGGCCCAAACGGCCGGTGACCTCTGACCCACGAGGTCACACGCGGTCGGTTGTCGTGGCTTAACAGACAGCGCTGTCAGCATCCAATTAACTCGCTCCAGTAGTAACGACTTGTAATGTCTCTCTGCACATTTTGATTTGCATATAATTGTATAAGCCTGAGGATGAATTATGCAAAACATATGTTCGCTTACGCTGACTTCTGATCATACTATGGGACTTTTTACTTTTACAAACCACCACTCACACCTAAACTCGGTCTGCGAGAAGCTGTCTCTTGAGCGGGCTTTGTTATTATTCTCCCATCTGCACTTTTAAAGCACATAGCAAAACATCCATACATACCTCTATCTTTAGTACTGGAGTTCAACCTTTGCCTCTCGGTCGACAGCCAAACGTTGGGTGTCCCAATAACCCAGCTATTTTGTGTGCGCAAATCAGGTTTTGAACAGTCGATGTCCGATATGCTAATACATTTTTGTGAAGGTTCGTCGCATCTGTCCTCGGTCAACAAACTCGTCGCTGACTTGTACTAGTAAAGCCATAGGTTCGAATCCAGCAAGACCCGGCGGGTGCGCGCTGTTGACGAATCCCGATAGGACGGATCGATCGTCTAGCGTTTCGTTATGTGTGTGTGTGTGTGTTGGCTGTCTGGCTCGATCGAACTGCTACAAATCTACCCGAGAACACTTCAGACCTCCTTACTGCTCTCCAATCGGCTTATGCATGTTGCCACATGGCGTAACATAAGGTTTCCATCATCAATCTGCGGAATTCCGTTACAAGAGTGCACTCTACTGAAGATCCATTCGGAATAGTCCATCAGTGTAGGTAACCGCGGAACTTCTGGCGTTCACGCCCCATAAGAGGATACTACTTACATCAGTAAGACTTGTTCTACCTTTCAAAGCTACTTCTTAACTTAACGGGTGTTATCCTTCTACTTAGTGTGCAGACTTTCCACACAGCAGTTCGGAATCAGAATCGAGAAATTGACTGGGTTTGACCGCTAACACCAGCGAACAATTACTCATAGCTGTTTGGATCGCCGAATGATCGATCCAGAGGTGCACCGTTTGTCATTTGACACTTTGCTGCCGAACTAGATTACGTGCCTGCTCCGTTCGATCTTCCACGGTGACTAGGTCTTGGTTGAATGAGTGACCAGTCGGTGGTGTGGCAATCGGTTGCACAAAAGCTCACTGGATCGTCGAGTCGAGTTCTCCGGTGCTTGGGGGCTTTGGGATTAGCTACCCTAGTAGTTCGAATCCATGCTCTGTATGGCACGGTCACACAGTCAGCTGCGTTCATGCATCCATTATTCCATCTGACGCTTTCGAATGTTTCGTCCTCTTTTTTGTGTATTTCTTTTTCTGTTTTCCCAACAGTTCAACTTTTTTTCTTAACCTTTGTCAATGTGATTTGACCTTGCACGCTTTGGCTCACAGGTCATAGTTGATTAGGTTGAACCGGCTACATCGACCAACAAGCCTTCGCCACTCACTGGTACCAGGCGTGAATTTATTGCATTCTTGCACGCTGGTTTTGTTTCTCCTTGATCCCATTGTGATGAGACTTGACCTTACTGTGGTGTGAGACTGAGACTGAGACTGTATTTAAGAGCAAGTAGAAAGGTTTCTGTACAACTCTATCGAATTACGAAAAATCAAAATTTACTTGTGAATTATCAGCAGTTGTGTCTGGTCCGTTAATCGTTTATCCGTGTTCGGTTAGAAATTTGTACTAGCGTTATTATCTCCGGACATGCAATGTCTTCTTTTGGCACTGTATATGCATCGTTTCACAAAAGCACAGGTTTCCAAAATAACCGTCGATACGGGTTTTAAAACACTTCACAGAATCG